CTTCTTTTTCTTACTTTTCTTCTTCAACTTCTTTTTCGTCGTCTTCGTCTTCCTTTTCTTTTTCTTCTTCTTCTTACTCTTCTTCTTCTTACTCTACTTCTTCTTACTCTTCTTCTTCTTACTCTACTTCTTCTTACTATTCTTCTTCTTCTTCCGCTTTTTCTTACTCTTCTTCATCTCCTTTCGCTTCTTCTTCTTATATTTCTTCTTTTTCTTACTATTCATCTTCACCGTTTCTTTGTGTTTCTTCGTCTTCGTCTTATTTTTCCTTTTCTTCTTCTTCTTACTCTTCTTCTTCTTCTTCTTACTCGTCTTCTTACTCTTCTTGTTCTTATTCTTCTTACTCGTCTTCTTCTTCTTCTTCTTATTCTTACTCTACATCTTCTTCTTACTCTTTTTCTTCTCACATTTCTTCTCGCTCATCTTATTCTTCTTTTACTTCTTTTTTACTGTTCTTCTTCTTCTTCTTCTTCATCATCCTCTTCTTCTCTTTCTTATCTTTCTTTTTCTCTTTCTTATCTTTCTTCTTACTCTTTTTCTTCTTCTTACTCCTTTTCATTTTCTTATTCTTACTCTTCTCTTTCTTCTTCCTACTCTTTTTTTTATCGTACTCTTCTTTTTCTTCTTCTCACACTTCTCTATCTCCGTTTTACACTTCTTCTTCTTCTTCTTACTCTTCTTCTTCTTCTTACCCTTCTTTTACTTCTTTTTTTTTTTCTTCTACTTCTTTTTTCTTCGTCTTCTTCTACTTCTTTTTTTCTTCTTCATCTCCTTCTTCTTACTCTTCTGCTTCTTCTATATTGGGTTAAGCAGCTCTTACGTGATTAGCCAACTAAATAACAGCACCTTCAGTCGTTTCTGCTTTGCGCGGTGAACCAGATCCAACCCGTCTTTTTCTTTCCAACAAAGGGGAGGTTACGCCTTGTACTCGTTCACTACCAGACACATTCGCCTTGCTTCCTCTCCAATATCTTCGCTTTCATATCCAGGCAAGTGAAAGAAGAACTAACGGTACGCTTGTTGGGGCTAATGTTATCAGTATCATCGACACACGTCAGCAGTTCTACGCCCCTGTAGAAGATTATACCTTCCCTGTTCAGCTTAGTAGCAACCTTATATGAAACCCTATCGTTCAGTATCAAACGGTTTCTTTCCCATTCGGTCGGAGCTTTTGGTGCCACTCAACAACCGCTTACATAGAAATCTACGAAGTGGTTCTGTGTGTCGTATTCTTCGTATTCCCACATCTCAGCTTCTTTCTTTTCCCTGTTTTCACCATCTTCCACCTTAGGTATCTAGCCAGTACGGTAAATGGGCCAGGAACCAGCTTCGATTTCCCACACCGAATATACCGTTATTTCTAAACTTCGTGCCATTTGATATTGAATTGCAATTCGTTTTCTGTCTTTTCAACGAAATGGAGGGACCCACAGTTTAAACTAAGCCACCTCCGAACGTCTGACGTTTTTTTATGACGAACTTTTAATTTCATGTCAGAAATACACTCGGAGTAGTAGGACACCAGTATTTGAACCCGAAGCTTCCGAATGACAGCACGCAATGCTAACCAGTCGGCTACCGCGCTCGCGGCCCAAATCCTTTGGCATGCATCGAAAAAACCAGAATGCGGATTGGCTGGGAGGTCTTATCAAAGTTTACAGTTAGTTTTTGACGCTTATAGTCACGTGGGACCACAATGGTGTTGCAAAATAACCTGTCGTGCACTTTTCTCGTTTTTTTATTGATAACGTCTCACATCGATGATTTCACCTCTTTTCAGCAGCATTTAATTTACCACACTCCTCTGGTCCCTATAAGAGTATGATATCTGAACCGAGGCTGTTATTTGACCTCGATGTAGACTATGAGCTAACGGGCTCACCATGCTTGGTATGATATTTTTCTGCTTGGTGTTATCTAGTACATCGACTTTTCATCTCTAGTCACGATCTGGTGCAAAAATCGCTTCCTTTGATGCCGTACAAGAAGCAGTTCCGAGGTGAAAAATCGCCTTTCAAAGTTTCTTAGCTTCAACTCGTACTGCACCCGATTTGTTTTTGAATAAATTCGAATTGCTTTTAGCCCAACGAAAATTGTTTACTAAGCCACTCCCAACGATGCTGCGATACCAAAATCACCACTTTGAGACCACTCTCTGCATGACTTATCTTTCGGCGTAGATTCACCATGAATTTCCATAGGCATTCAATAGTGTTCAGCTGGATTTATCCGCCGGTTGATACTCTTTAAGCCCTCAATCAGTCAGCTTCAAGTTTGTTTCATTTCATTGCATAAAAACAATAATTATTTTTACAAAACTGCACTTATATACCTACATATTATATATATATATGAGTTGTAAATATGTATGCCCACAACTGATCTTACCATCGCAATGATTTATGTAATTTTATAGCGCGAAAAATTCACCTCTATGAACTGCCCCAACCCATTTAACTTGAAGTTGAAGTAATTAAAATACACTAAGTAATAAACATTTTCTAAGGTGTACCTTTATGTGTGGTTGGCACTTATGTATGCATATGCGGTATATAGAAAACTATCTATATATGTACTTATATATATATGTAGAAAAAGTTTTCAAGTTTCATATACAGCCAGTGATGTCAGTCAGCGTTTTCGACGCTTCACCAAAGTCTACTAACCTACTCGTATATACATATGTATGTGTGAATGTACTACTTAACATTTTTGGACTTGCAATACATAAATGATATATACGTATATAAAGATATACATAAATTATATAACAAATAAATGTGGCTGCAATTTGTCTAGAAGAATGTGTCACTTGCCAGCAAAACACCCACACATGCGTACATACACACAACATCATCCAAAGAAATATTAAGTTGTGGCCATGCACAGTGGGTCGAAAGTGGAAATAAATAATAATAATTCAAATTTAACATAAAAATAAGGGATTTTTTTTTTTTTTTTTTTTTTGAATTCACTCAAAAGTAACAAATGCATTAGTGGCTCAACACTTGACAAAGGGTGTTTTTTAAGACAAGTGGTTTTCAATGAGGGAATAATTTTTCGTCCGCAATAGCCGAGGGGTTAGCATTGCGCACTACCACCCGGAAGGCTCGGCTTCAAATCCTGGTTCGTGCAAAATCCAAAAATTATAAGAAAATCTAATCAAATAAAAAATTACGTTAATTTTTCTGAATGCGATCACTGTTAGGCAAGGAATGTCAGGCTCTCTGAGTGTATTTCTGACATGAAATAAAGCTCCTCATAAGGAAACCATCAGCCGTTCGAAGACGGCTTAGAATAAACTGTAAGTCCCTCCATTTCTTGGAAAAAGCATCAAGACGCGAAACCACAAATTGGAGGAGGAGCTCGGCCGAAAATCGCTTCATATGTGGCATTTCTTCACTTTTCTTAAAGCTGCTCATAAAAATCTTTCAGCAGTTCGAAGGCGGCTTGGAAAAATTGAAAAAAAAATCGAGAGCCATACGACAAAGTGTAGAAGGAGTTCGGCACGCAAAGCCCCTCAGCGGTTATGAAATCCCAATTATGTAAAGACCAGTATTGGACAGGTTTCCCTATAAGCGCTTCCATATTATACATTACATTTATATGCCTTGCGGTCCAAAATAAATCGATAACATCATCTAATTATAATTTTTTTATTTACCCTCAAATTATTGAATTCTGAAAATTTTTGTACAGAAAAAAAATGTTCCCGTGCCCACTGTATGAAGGCGGAATTGTGGCAAACAGCAATCAGTAGCAGCAACTTAGGCGTTAGAAGACGGTTAATGCATATTAATTCTAATCGTCTTATGTGACAAACAATACTTCTTTCTACTTATATGTACATATATAAATATTTAATACGTTTCTATTAATGCTGAAGACTTGATTTTGTAGCTGCTGTTGTTATTGTTGTGTTTGTTGTTGTTGTTGTCACTTTAGTTTCGCTGCTCGCTGTCTGTTGTCTGTTTGTTGCCTATAAATGCCAAAATGGTTTATTTAGTGACTGTTGATTGCCATAATATTTTGCACATTGTTGGCGTTGTTGTTGGATGCACATACACACACACACATACACACTCGCACACACATTGGACCCAACCCAAAATCGGCCTACACCGTTTGTTATTAACTATCAAGGCAAACGCAGAGAATGCAGAGGAGCAGCAAACAAGAAACCTCAACGGCAGACAAAGTCAAAGTGACAAAGAGTGTGCAGCGGCTAACGTGTATGGGTGGCTTAGAATATAAATACATACATATATATATATATAGGAATTTAAAAATTTTCGCACAATACAAAAATATATTTATGTATTGCACTCAACGCAGCCTTGTCATGCCACAAATTCATCAGTTAATTGCAAATTCATATTTTTTCTTGCTTAAAAATTAAACCAAAAACAGAAATAGAAACAAAAACAAAAACAAAAACAATGTTTGCCCACACAAAGTGTCTGTTTGGCAAACTTCATAAACAATAAAAAAAAATTATATCCGTTTATATGTATGTATGTCTGTATGTACATATGTGTGGTTATGTAAGTACGTTCATGCCTAGTTAACTAATCTTCAATTAATGCGTTTTGCCAGTCTCGTTTAGCTTTTGTCGTCTCATAACTGTCATTGGCTCCAGCGCAATTCACAGTTACCGCTGCTCGCTAGCGCATTTAGCCAAGAACCAGCGAAAAAGACGAACGCGAAATTGAATTTTTCTCAGCATAAATTTGTGTTTTGATCTTAATATTTTTGTTTAAATATTTAAATGTCTCCAGACATACAAACAAACATACATAAACGAATTGTGTTTCAATATAATTTCGAATGCAGTGTCTTTGTTATTTGAATTTTAAATATTCCACGCGGAAATAGTGCTACTTTTGCACTCTCTTACAAACGCGCGCTCTCTCTCTCCCACACACACACTCTCTCTCTCTACCTCTCGTCAAAATGAAAATGCATTTGATTGTGAAATGGAATTGTTTCTCTTGTTGCAGGGAGTTACAAGCGACCTCCTCTAGCGGCGGCGGCGAGTGGATAAAGGACTATACGAGCGGTTCGAGTGGCGCTGTCGATCATTTGCCCACGACGGATGTGTTGCGGCGCAGTATACGACGTTCTTGGACAATATCAAGTGAGTGTGAAAAGAGTTATACATACATATATATATATATATAAATGAAGTATTACAGGTTAGTGAAGGGAATGGCGGTGGAAATGTGTTACATTTTTAAAGGCAGTAGAATTCTTTTATTTAATTTTTGTGTTTCCGTGTACTTTTACAACTAAATATCTGTACTTTAAACAGTATTTGTTTACAGATTACGCACCTTCCCACCGCTAACGTGCGCCTTCTTTTTCCAATGCATCATTAATTAGAGACACCAAATGAGCAAGGGCTCTCTCTCTCTCTTAAGGATATATCTAACGGAGCGGAGATCTTCCCATATCTCTGCTTCTGCCAGCGGGTACTGAAACGTATGCTTTCGTATCAAGAGTTTCCACCAACGGGGCGAAACGACTTAGCCGCTGTACGCTGAACTAAATCGTTAAGCAGACTCAGCGATATCTTAAGCCGTTGACTGTTTGTTTTATAACAGGAAACGTTTTATTATGCCGCCGTCCACAACCATACTCATTCTCTTCGGGGCGTTATACAACTTAGAGGTACCTTATTCTTCTTCTTTTTTAATGGCGTAGGCGCCGCTTACGCGTTTATAGCCGACTTAACAACAGCGTGCCATTGATTCCTTCTTCCCGCTGTTTGGCGTCAGTTGGAAATACGAAGTGAAACCAGGCCGCTCTCCAACTGATCATTCCAACAGAGTGCAGGTCTTCCCTTTTGTCTGCTTCCATCAGCGGATACTGTATCGAATACTTTCTAAGGTGGAGAGCTTTCTGTTCGGAGCTTAGTCGCTGTTTGTTTAATCGCTGAACTTTGTTAATGTCATCCTATTAATCGTACAGTTCGTTGTTCCATTGTCTGTAGTATACGTCATTCCCAACTCATTACGCGAACAATTTTTACCATGTCTTCGGCTTTTATAGTTTGGTCTATGTTCGTCGAGAGAGGACTTTATTTTCCATTCCTATTGGGAAGAGTGATTATGCGCGGGATTTTCAGTCTGGCATTATTGTTGGCGTTAATACTGGTTCCAAGTTCGGCGGTTGTAACAGTGACGTGGGAGCCGAGTCGCCAAGGCGATGACCATTTGTTTGATAACAGGGGATATTTCGTATTCCGCCCGTTTACTACCAGACCCAGACGCTTGGCTTCCTTATCCTATGTAGGGAAAGCAGAATTCGCGGCATCAGCAGCTGTAGACTGTTACAGAAGATTTCGTCCTCTCTATTTAATATTTGTAAGGCCCAAGGACTGTAGCAAAGTTTGTTTACGGCCTTTTCGTACGATGTAAGCAGCTCAAAAGAGTCACATTAGCTAAGAAGTGGAAGTTCGTCCAACGACTTTGGAAGTCTGGTTATCTCGAGCATGGAAAGCTCTGCTATTTTTAAGGGAATCGATATCAACCCCAGCTACATGCATCACTGCATCTCTAGGCTGGCACCAAGTGGCTAGTCTCTCTATTATAGTTACTTGGCGAGGGGACTATATAGACTGGCGGTTGACAAAGCTCTCAAGAAACGGAAAACTATAAATATTTTTTCGAATTAGCCGAAACCTGAGAAACTGACGCTAGCATCTTGTGTGTGTGTGTATTTGGCCTCGACCACATTGAAATTTGCTACTGTCAAGAAAGATGTGGATATATTACTTCGGCGAGTGGTTTCTATAAGATGAATCATAGTTATTGTTCTTGAATCTTCTTCTTGGATGATGAGCGCAGAAGTTATAGCAGAATACTTAGCACCACTCGCTGCATCGTAAAAGCTCTTCCAAAGGTAACTTATGGACACCGTAGACTAGCGGAATCACTGAGAAATATAATGCTGTATTCGCTTGGGTGGGATGTGTGCTCCTCTTTTAAAATTTACAGCGGAACAACCTGAGAACCCTCTCCAACGTGCACGTTTGCGAGCCCTTTTTGGATCCAAATAAAGCACCGATAGGTTAGGAAAGCTCTCTACACTTTCCAGGTCACAGTTTCCATGCATAGTGGGATTTCTGTCTGCGTGACGTTCATACACGGAGGCTTGTGGTGATACTACAAGCTGGGTCTAAATAATAAAAGAGCGGTCTAGCGTTTAGGTAGATACATTTATGTGGATTCCCACTTACATGTTCTCGGTATCTTACCGGTTCTCATCACAAAACTCGGGTTACTCTCGTGGTGTGATTGATTGAATGAGACTCTTTGATGGTCTTAGCCTTGGTGATGGTCTTGACTACAACTCTATCTCCTTTTAGCAGAAATAATGGCTTCATCAGATAAAAGTTCAGTCTTAATGAGGTAATGAACCGAACTTTAATGAAAAAAAAGGTGAATTGTGATTAACTTTAACTCTCCTAGACTCTAAAGTTGGTTCCTTCTAAGAGCCTCCACCACTCTAAGCCCTCCTTAGGAAGATACTTTATTTTTGTTGACTTCAACGCCGCCAAAATATACTACTTAAGAAAGATTTGAGATGGAGAACATCTTCCTGAGGACATTATCTACTACTAAGGCTACTGGTCTAAGTTCCTTTCTTTGAAAGCTCGCACTGTTGCTTTCCTAAGGCAATTGCTATGAAGTAGTAAGAGTCGCAAGATGCTTGCTAAGGACTGAATGACCGAAAAGATCGTACAGCAAAGCAATACACGATGTGTCTAGATTTTCATCTGCACGGTTACTTTTCCTACGACTTAAAAAGCTTACACCCACTTTAAAGGCCCGATGGAACCTTTTATTACTTTTCGAACTTTTTTTTAGTTTTCCGTTATCTTTCTTAGTAATTTTCACGTCGCTTCTTCAACACAAGACTAATAATTCACATCTCCTTTTACAGATCCCGAAGACGATACGAATAATCAAAACCCCCAAAATCCCGTCGGCGACAATCTCTATCCACAGCAAAAGAATCTTATCGATTCACAATCGGCCGGTAGCTACCCCTCACTTATACGCCAACCCTCACAGCAGCAACGCCCACACCACGCCGCGTATCAGAGCGGAAGTGCGAGCGGTATTAGCGGCGTCGGTATCACACATCCACCGCAAGCGCCAAACGAATATTTGGTGAATTCACAGCGTCGCGTCCTACGACAATCGACCCTACCGAGTTCGCTGCCCAACAACGATCCGAATCTCAGTGGTAGTGGCGCCAATTTGGCTAATTATAATTACGTGAACCTCACAGCCCCCACTTCGCCACATCAGATGCAAAGGAGTCCGATTTATCCGAGCGCCTACAATAGTGATGACGTCATACACATGAGTGCGCCTGAATGTGATAATTATACGCAGCAGCAACAGCAACAGCAACCGATGAATATACAGCAGCCACAGCAGCAGCAACAACAACAACAACAGCCACAGCCGCAGAGTGTGATAAATCCCCAATCGCACCATCGCCTACAGGTTTGTACCTACGCGCATCCTTGTGTGGATTGACCATGTGAAGCCAACAGAGCATGTTGCATGCAACACTTGTGGCTTGCCACAAACATTTGCGCATTTTCTCATATTGCTCATTTGCATATGCATTTACCGTTAGCTTAGAGTGCAGATTTACATAAATTTATATTTCCCACCCACAGGTGCGCAGACAATCCACACTCCCGGCTAACCCCTGCCAACCGCCCATGTATTTATCCACATCGCCGAATCGCCCATACAGTCGCTCGCCGGAACGTTCACCGGGCGAACAACGTTATCCTCCATTCATGCGTCAAACCTCCTTCCCGTGCAATATGTCGGAGCCACCAACGCAACAACACCAAGTGCATCTAAATTTAGGCACTACACCGTCAAACCAAGCATATCCGAGAAAGTTGCTGCCCACCTCACCCAACTATCAGGGCTCGATTATGTACCAGCCCACGCAGCAGCCACAGCCACAGCCACAGCCGATGCAAGTAAATTACGACCCTCAGACAGGACAAACGCAGCCGGCAGATGAGTTGGACTACACACAAGTAGGGCCGAAACCACGCATGTTGCGTCAGGCCACCTTACCTAACCCCGATCAGCATGTCAAATTGCTGCCCACCTCGCCACCAAAGCGTCAGACCTCACCGCAATATCGACGTTCGCCGGAGTTCATGCGCCAACAGACCTTACCGAATCCGGAAGCTTTCACCGGCAACTCACTCTCCGTGCCGTCAGGACAGCAACCTGCTAAATTTATGCCACTGTCACCACGACACAAGCAGAATTTCCTATTCCCAAACGTGCAGAATCCGCGTCAATTCTTGTCGCAACAGCATGTGCCGGCAGTTGGCGCGGGAAGCGGTGAAGTGAACACGAGTGCTAACAGTACCGGCGAACATTATTCGAGTAGTCAAAGTGTGAACATACAGTCGAGGGATCATGCCAAAATGATGAAGGTGCGCAGTCACAGCAATGAGGAGTACTCGATCACGAAGCCACACCACGCAGAGAATCGACGTCTATTACCGGAAATACCAGTTAATCGATCGTCGAGGTGAGTAGCAAGTCGAAAACTGTCTAGAACTTCAACCAACCCCTGTTCTCACTCTCTTTTACTCTTTACAGCCGCTCTCCCAGTCGCTTAGTGCGTCAGGAATGTGTCAAAGATGATCGCGGTAATGCGCAGGATCCAAGTGGACGGACTTTTGGCGAAGCTAAACAACAGTTCAATCCGTTTTCAAATCTCACCGAAGACGCAGATAATCGCCCCGAGTATATGGATTACTTTGGCGATAGCACTAACAGTTTCCTCGAGGCCGACGAGGTGCAGTATGAGAAGAACTACAACGCGGGCTTTAGCAGTGAACCACGTATCATATACAATGACGGCTCTGATGATGGCAGCTATACGCAATACTCGCAGCGTCCCATTGTGCATAGCGCTGAAAACGTGCTCATGCACGATCAGAACTACAGCTACTATGGTCCGGATGGTGGTTTGAGTGGTCAGCCTCTCTCCACCCCTGCTTTGAGTGCCAGCGGTGGCGCGCTGCCTCGTACCCCACAAATGCACAATCGTCTACGTCGTCGACAATCACGTGAATTAGAAATGCAACAGGAAGAATTGGCCCATCTAAATAGGCAAACTGCAGGAACTGTCACTACAGTAGAGACCAAAGCTACAAGTGGCATCGGCGCAGTAAATGGCACAGTGATAGCCGCTAACGGCGAAGCACATGAGTCGAAGGAACGCCGCAAACCCGAGCAGATGCGTTCAATTTCTGAAGATTCCGGTGCAAAGACGAGTCCACTAAAAAACGTACCAAGACGCTCCCTATCACATCCCGAAAAAGAGACCCAGGTGAGTAGTGACATTTATCAATGCCAATGAAATACTTTTCAGTACAAATTTTCTTTTGCTTTCAGGCTAGCAAAAAAGTTGAACCCACGAAAATACCAAGTCCAAGACCCTTGGCTGATATTTTAGATAAGACACGAAATAATACGAAAATACCAACACCGCGACGACGCAATAGTCGTGGCACGAACGGTGCAGATGCAGAAGATGGTAAGTAAAATGAGAAGATTCGGATTGTAGTTGCTATTAAGGATATGAGCTGAGCTAGACAAATACATTGGCAATATATAATATAATAGCCTTCTTCTTCTTCACTGGCACGAAGTGTAACTGGTCGCGTAGGCGTAGGGTGGTTGCCGATCTATAGCATTGACTTAACTTGAATGAACCTCAATAAAACCCATCCTGATGCCACAAAACTTGACCATCAGTTTTCGTTACTCAACTCTTTAAAGTCTCTAATTAACTGCATTAAATCCATGACCGTGATGTCGACTAGCTTCCGTAGGCGATCCAACAATAGGGTTCCAAAATTCCAAAATTTCGCACTGGCCAAAGCAGGACAGTACAGGACAGGGTGACCTCTCTATTATCCTTGCAGCTGACGATTTGTTTTATCCCATTTTGGCCAGGTTTGCCTGGATTTGTGTCAGATAATAGTTTCATTTCACCTTGACTCGGCCGGCAAAGGGTATACCAATCCGTTCTTTATCGAGAAGAATCTGCTTGGCCGTACCTTGGCTAGCAATTTCATCCAACTTTTAGTTTCCCTCGGTGTCTCTATGTCCAGTGACCCACGTGAGAGACAATTAGTTCTGTTTAGCCATCTGCTGTGGAGATTGGTGAGAGTACAGAAAAATTTTGGAATTTACTTTTATTTTTGCTCGACTAACCGCACTGGGTATAATATTGTTAAAGGCTGATCTGTATCTATGAAGGCAACACAACAGATTCCTTATTATAGAGAGACCCACGTTTTTAATCTTACCTAACCAGCGGAAGCTCTTACTTTCCGTAAACTTTCCTAACCTAAACTTAAATAAATGAGATTTCTATGATTATACGGAGTGCAGTATGGGATGGTAGCAATACCACTGTTTATTCAATAATCTAGCCAATCAAGTGCTGAATAGTATGAAAAACCTCTCGATCTCTGTCCCTGCCTTACAGCTTTTAGACTGTAGAAAGCTTCAGGAGTACAATTTAAAATAAACAGGATATTATAAAGCTTTTTTTATTATTTTGCAATAAAGCTGTTTTTTAATTTTTTTATATTATTTCATTTATTTTACTTTGTTAAAATTACTATTTTAATTTGTAAAATTTCGTGTTATTTTATTTAAAATATTTTAACTTAGGTTTTTATTTTATTTATTTATTTTTTAATACCTTATTTTTTATCTCTTTTTTTATGTTAATTTCAATGATTTAATTTTTTTCTTTTAATTTATTTTATTCTAATACAATTCATTTCATTTATTCTCATTTATTTTACATTAAATTGTGTTATTTCATTTTCTTGCATTTTATTTTATTTTATTTCATTTAATTTGACTTTAATTTATTTCTTTTATTTTAAGTTTTTTTATTATTTTATTTAATTTTTTTTATTTTTTTATTTTATTTTAGTTTATTTTCTTTTAATTTATTTTATTTTTAATAATTTTTATTTTATATTAATTAATTTTTTTGTCTTATTTTTTTCATTTTTTTATTTTTATTTTATATTAAATTCTTTTTTTTCTTGCATTTTATTTCATTTTAATTTAATTTTTTTCTTTTATTTTATTTTTTTATTTTATTTTATTTAATTTTTTCTTTATTTAATTTTATTTTATTATATTTTATTTTATTTTGTTTATATTTAATTAATTTTTTTTGTTTTATTTAATTTTTTTATTTAATTTATTTTGTTATTTTATTTTATTTCACTTTTTTCTTTTGTTTTTCCTTATTTTATCTAATTTAGTTTAAATTTTTGATTTGTTTTTATTTATTTTATTCTACTTTACTTTATTACATTTGTTCTTATCGTGTTTTATCCAGTTTATTTATATATTATTTTATTTTAATTTATATATTTATTTATTTTAATTTATATATATTTTATTTCATTTTTATTTTTATTTTATCTCATTTTATTTTATTGTATTTCACTTCAAGTTCTTTTATTTTATTTTTTTTCTATTTCGATTAAATTTATTATATTTTATTTAAACTTATTTCTTTTTTTTTTTTTTTTTTGAATTTAGAATTTTCTGTTTTTATATTTCTTTTTTATTTTTTGTTTTGTTTATTGTTTTTGATTTGATTTGATTTTATTTTTATTTTTTTCTAATATTATTATTATTATTTAAAATTTATTTTATTTGTTTTTGTTTTCCTGTATTATTCTCTGTTATTGCAATAACAACATATCTTTCACTCTCTCTCTCTCTCTCACACACGATGCAGGCACCACCAACAAACCATATACAAACGAAAGGCGAAATTCCGATTTATCCCTCAAGTCTGCACATGCAAATAAAAAACACGAACAACAACAAGAACAAACCAACAATATAAATGAACAAAAAACACAATTAACGCATACAAAGGAGAATGGTAATAACAGGAAATCACCGTTGCAACAAAAGGATTTGCTAAATGAAAGCAACAAGAACAACAACAGCAATAGCAACAACAACAACAACAGCGGCATTGATCAAACAAAAAATGCTGATGAAAAGGAAAAAGAAAAGAAATCTACCATCAACAATGATACTGAAATGGAGGAGAGTAAAAATAAAGATGCCGATGCTAAAGTAGATGGCAAAGCAACAACAATGACCAAGGTGTGTATGACTGTTTAATGGCAAGTGTATTGTTGTTGTGGTTTGTGGTAATTTAGCTTGAGATTTAATGGCAAAATTGCTTAGGTTAATGAGTGTCCCTCAGGGAGATTTCCTGGTTGTTGTTCAACAAGACTATCGATATGTCGCAGAACAACTGTAAAAAGGACTTAACTCGAAAATTTTAAATGCCGAATTAATATTTGGTACATGTACATTTATGAAGTGCCAAATTATACTTAATAACTGTTAAATTTTTGGTATATTTATTTTTCAATATATTTTGAGGTCGAAATCGGTTTTTTTTAATTTTAATTTCCTACAAAAAAATAAATTTTCAGTTGTGATACTTTTGTAATTTATTTGTGTGCCATAAGTTTGTAAAAATGCTCATAGAAATCATTTTTATGTCACTTTTAACATTCAAAATTTTGAGATAATCATTATTTTAATTCCATAACTTTTCTCTTTCTCACCTAAAGCAACACACAACCACCTTGGGTGAACAAGAAATTCAAAATGCCGTCGAGGCTGCCGCTGTCATATTCAAAAAGGTTGTACTCCAACGTCGGCAGGAGAAAAAGGCAGCTGAGGAGGGTAAGTGAACCATGAAATGATTATACATACATATTTCTGAATACATACATACATAAGTATTTAATTAGTTAAATTTGTAAGAGGTGTTGGTTTTATATTCGTTTATTCATAATGTTATTTTTTGATCGATAGTTTAGTAAAATAACTGTATTTTTTAATTTCACTTTCATTTGTTTACGCACCCGGCTTTTGCGTCTCTGTAACTAAAAACTATCTAATATATAATATTATATAATTAGATTTTTATATATTCTCTCCATTTGTAAATATTTCCCATGGAAAATTGTGCGACTAACCTCTAATATTCAACAAGAAATTCAGTCGAATTAAATTCAGCATTCCTGCTCTGCTTCTGTCCGACCTTATCCCGAACTCATCGTAGACATCTAGAAGCTTCGCAGTACAAAGGACTAGTTGAGGAGTAGTAAAATTGAATTTAAAGCTTCTCAAAAGGCTGTATTAACTGTACTCCAACGAAAAGAGCTCCAGTTGGCACAACAAATGACAACTAGCTATTTTACTGAGAATTACTGACCCTCTGTGAATGCAATTGAACTGAATTTTTTGAAGCTTAGGAATAAAATTTCCATTATTTTATAAGAAATTAATCTCAATTATTTTTTTTTTTTAATTCACAAAATTAATATTTTTATTTAAGGTTAGGTTGTTAGCAAATGGTGGCCGATTTGAGAATATCGCCACTTACTTATGCAATAACAATTTTTTTTGGGAATTCAGAAGTATGGCTGGGAACTTCAGTTTTCTTTCCAGGCACCCGAGGTTTACTTTTGTTTAGCGCAGAATTCGCTTTTACTGCACTTTATGCAGCAACTTTCGAAAAGTGTCACCAGCCGCCCTGTATACCATCCTATAAGGCATTACCTCATCGGAATACCAATATTTCCTTTGAAATATCCCTCTTTATCAAAGGGTATTGGCGGCTGCAGTAGCCGAGTGGTTAGCATTGCGTACTAACTGTAGGTCCCTCCATATGTTGGAAAAACATCAAGACGCATACAAAAAATTTGAGGAGAAGCTCGGCCGAAAATCGCTGTTATAAATTGGTGCTTTGTACAAATTATTTAAACATATATTGGTCAAGTAAAAAGTTCGTTCGGTTTTTTATTGATTTTTCAAAATATGACAACTTTGTGTACAGCTGTCCGATTTAAGTCAAATATACGCCGTTTTGTTCGTAAACTTGTTGCCGACGAGATGCCAACTTCATTATACCCCTTTCGTAGAAGGCTGCGTCCCTATTGGTAACAAACTCGGAAAGCCAATTTTCACAGGCCTCTCTTGAGGCCAACTTCTCACCATTAAGCGCGTTCGCCATGGACAGGAAATGATGGTAATCACTTGCTGCCAGATCGGAACTATAAGGTTGGGGCATTAAGACATACCATGCGAGCTCCTGGAGCTTCTGGCGCTTCACCAAAAACGTGTGTGGCCTGGCGTTGTCTGGATGGAGCATAATTCGACCTCTGTTGATCAATGGTAGCCTCTTCTGGATGAGTGCTGCCTTCAAGCGGTCCATTTGCTGGCAGTAGAGGGCGTTTGGCCATAGGGGAATAGCTCGTAGTAGATGATTCCTAGCCAATCCCACCAAGCACACTGCAAAACCTGGTGCATCTTTGACATGGAAATTACCGGAACTGAACCTAGAAAACCACTTTTGTGCTCTGTACGTTCGCTTACAGTATCGGTCCCATAAACTAAATTAATTTTTTCAGCCGCTTTGGCTGCTTTTTCACCCTGATCGAAGAAAAATTGTAAAATATAGCGAATTTTCTCTTCGCTGGTGTCCGTCTTTGACGAGCGCTCACATCGTACTGAGTCAATCAATCGAAAAACCGTCAAAGACAAAATTTTAGCGCGAATAAACAGGTTTTCAACGCCGTATAGTATGACATGATGCGACACGTAACACCTCTACTATGGACAATAGCGCCAACTCTTAGTTAAAAACCGAACGAACTTTTTACTTGACCTAATATTAAAATAATTATACGCCATATGGCCGCTTCTGGTGCAATTTCCGCCAACTTTATCTTGATTTAAAGGAAACTTGACCTACCTTATTTATAAATAATTTTTTTTTAGCAGCAGTTTACATATATGCATTCCAAGGAATTTGCTTGTTCCTACCTTGTTTAGTAAGTTCGTCTATCCTGCAGTTCTTCTCACTGTCTGAGTGATCAGGAACCCAAACGAGGTGTGTTGTATTTTGTAATGTCGTGAAGGTAGCTGTGACAGTCCCAAGCGAGTTTAAAGCTTATCGTAACCGAGCTTAGAGCGGCCTGATTTTCGAAAGAGATGAAGATTTCTCTTATTCGGTACTCAGTTGGAATCTTGGGATCTTGATTCCAATACTTCCAGCTGGAGTTTTAAAGTTGCTCGTCAACTCTTCGCTGCCAGAAAGCTGGTATGACTGCTTAAAGAAGACTAGCAACGCTTTCTACTGCTGGGCAAAAAAGGTTTTCTTATTGCGTAATTAAATGTTTATTGTTCTTTAATGATTTGGTCTAATTTTATTAAACAATTTGTAGTAATTTTACAAACGTAAACGTATATATATTTTTATGACATTTCCATGCGAGCTATTATTTTATGCCTGTGGCATCCCTTGTTCTTGTCATCATTCCTTAGTCTTACCTTTTATTACAAGTAATTCTCTTGCGATTTCAAGAATATCAAGCTAACAATTGTGTATCATATATGAGTACTTTTGAAAGCCATGAAAGCACTTTATGACAGCTGTCACCCGTTTTAACTATATTTTGGATATGAGTAAAATACTGTATATGGCACACGTATGCACATATAAGATATGTACATATGTGAACATGTCCCTGTGGGAAAACTTCAAGTATTTAGATCACAAGAGTGGAGCTCCTTAAACTACTAACTTGGCGCTGTTTTAATATTCAGCTAATTCTGATTATAATCACAGGAATTGTGGTAATGTGATGTAGATTTATATATCTTTTATCTTAATTTCTGGAATTAAAAAGGAAATAAATTAATAAATGTAAAAAAAATATTCACTAATCTTCTCAAAGACAGGGCATATCAAACCCACTAAGAATGTTTTTGACTTAACTTGACTTTCTTAAATAGAAAGCGTCAGCTGTTCGGAGCGGCTTAGAATATAGATTAGTAGGATACCTCCATTCGTTGGAAAAACATCTAAGCGCATACCAAAAAATCGAAGGAGAAGCTCGGCCGTAAATCGCTTCAGCGGTTAGAGAGCGCCAGTTTATATATATAATCTTATCAAATTCGTGAATAAGTTGATATGATTCTCTTAGCGTTTTTCTGTGTGCTTTACATGGATGGATATCTGATATGATAAGTGTAAAAATAAATTAAATTCCCAAAGGCTTGATTACGTGTATGTGAGTCAGTTGATTGCCTCTGTTGTGTTCTGTGTTATCTTGTTATCATATGCTACGCATAAACTTGAATTTGATGCGCAAAAAGAGCAAAATAAAGGAAAACATATGTGTGCTATACATACATATATTATATGAAAATATCAAGACAACTATTTAATTAATGTAGAAATTTAGTCGGTGTAGATTGTCCAAATTTCATATGAGATTTGGCAATGGAAGTCGAGTGCAAATAAAATGAATCAAAACAAAATTATAATAATAATGAGCACGAAGCTGGATTTAAAACTCGGTGCATTTGCAATATTATATTATCGCTTTATATGTATTATCATATTTGTATTCATGTAACTAACTAATCTCATGATATTAATTGTCTTAAAAGCCTTAATGTAATAACTTCAATGCAAATTGAAATAAAATTAAGACATAATAAAAATAACTAAATATAAGAATTTTAATAAAAATTAAATAAAGCAAATAAAATTGTTAAACAAATAAAAATATAATTACCAGGATAAAATAAAATAGAATAAATTAAAATAATATCACATAAAATAAAACAAATTAAAACTTAATCATTAAATTAAATTAAATAAAATAAAATAATTTAAGCAAAATAAAATAAAGTAAAGTAAAAAATTAATAAAATAAAATAAATAAAAATATTAAATAAGAACAAATAAAAATCAATTCACTAAAATAAAATAAAACAAAATAAGATAAAAAATGTAAAACTAACTAAAAAAGAGAAAATAAAACTAAATAAACTCAAAAATAAAATAAATAAATCAAAATGAAATAAAATAAAACAAATAAAATATAAATAAAAAATAAATAAAAATAAATACTAAAATAAAAAAAATAAATACTAAAATTGAAAAAATTAAAATAACAAAATAAAACTTAGTAAAATAAATTATATTTAAAAAAAATATAATTAAAAGAAATAAATCCAAATAATAAAATAAATAAATCAAACTAAAATAAAATAAAACAAAAAAACATGAAAAATGAAATGAAGTAAAACTAAATAACATCGAAAAAATAAAATTAAATTAAATAACATAAATAAAAAAATAGATTGAAATAAAATGATATAAACTCAAAGTTTAGAAAAAACAAATCAAAGTAAAATAAAACAAACAAAAAATAAATAATAAAAAAAAAAATAAAAATTACTTAAAATTAAATAATTTACAATAAAATAAAATAAAATTAACAAAACAAAATAAAGTAAAATGAAATGAAATTTAATAAAGTAAAAAATGAATAATATAAAATTAATAAAAATAATAAATAAGGAACAAATAAAAATCAATTCACTAAAATAAAATAAAACAAAATAAGATAAAATAAAGTAAAACTAACTATAAAAGAAAAGTCAAAACTAAATTAAATAACGTAAATAAAATAGAACAAAATAAAATAAATAATAATCAAAAACAAAAAATTAAATAAAATAGAATAAAAAATAAAATTAATAAAACGAAATAAATTAAAATGAAATAAACTCAAATATAAAACAAAGAATTCAAAATAAAATAAATCAAAATAGAATTAAATTTAAGTTAAAATAAAATAACACCAAATAAATCAAATAAAATTAAATGAAATAAAATAAAATTAAGTTAATTTAAGATTTTAAATTTAAAATGAAATAATTAAACTTTGAAGCTCTAATTAAAATCATATAAAATAAAACAAAATAATACTGAATAAAATTAAAATAAATTAAAAGAAATACAATGAAACAAAAAAAAAATAAATAATGGTATTAAAAATATACGAAAAAAATGCAATATAAAATAAAATAACTATATTAAAATTAAATTAAATTTAGTTTAATTAAAAGAAATAAAATAAATCTTATATAAATAAATAATTAAAAAAGTCTAAATGTTAAATAAATAAAATTAATTGCGACTAAATAAAATAAAAAAAATTTAAAAAAAAAACTAAATTAAAAAAATATTATTTAAATAAATTTAAATTTAGTTTAATTAAAAATCAAATTATATAAAAATTAGATAATACAATAAAAAGCAGATAGAGAAAAAGAAAAGATGTTTGGGTGTTGGTTACATAGTGTTATTAGTGTTATGCATTTTCGATAAACTAACCAAATTTATTTGTTAACATGGTGTGCGGTGGTGACTAACAACAAAAACTAATGTAAAAGCTTTAAAGTTTGCTTAAAAATAACTAACAACGACGGTAATGGATTTTATACACTTTACGGACAGCGCCTGGCTAACCCACTTACCTTTTCATCTGAAATTCATGAAATTCTCGCATTTCCCACAAAAATACACTCAACTAAACACCTCTCACCTACACCAACAGATGCCTACGACATGGAGACTTCATCGGAACTGGAATTCAAATCGATTACATTCAATCACCAACATTACAATGTGGACGCCGAGGAATTCAAGCTTGTGTTCATCAACTCACCCGACTCTTCGTCCTCCTGTTCCGGCTCCGGCAAGGATGAGGGCGAGTTCGAAGATAGTAGTTCCACCACTTCATCCACACACAACTACAGCAGTATTACCATTGATGATTGTGACTGGGACTACTTTGAGCCGTCAATGATTTGCACTAGCGGCTCCATAACAAAACAAATCTTCTATTCACCTTGTGCCTCACCGATGGTCACGCGTCGTAGCGTCGTAAAGCGTGATTGCCACAAGTCTAGCGAGAGCACCGCTTCGCCCGCCGAATCACCATTGCTATACCGCAAATCACTTGCGTACTGTCCGCGCATACGGGAAAGTGACACAGGCACCGATGAGGAGCTACTCATGCAAGGTGAAAGTTCTTCACAAACCAGCTCTGATGGTTGTTTTGTGCGTGGCGCAATGGTCGGCGGTCCGACTGGTCGACAGCCGCAGCAAACGCAGTATCACCAACAACAACCACAGCAGCCACAACATCATCATTTGAGCATGAAGACACGCATCAAAACGCGTTTTGTCGGCAGCAAAGAAAGTAAGCATCACCGACAGCACCACCATCATCACAATGCAACCGCCGCTGCGTCCAAACATGTGCCAGAGCCACCAGCAGGCGGCATCTGTAGTTGTGGTGGCACCGCCAAAGTATCACTGGCGGCACCTAACGCCCCTCTGCCGCAAACACAACCGCAGTATGTACCCATACCGGTACCCGTACCCATACCCGTGCCCATGGCCGCTTTTCATAACTGGCACCCACAAGAGCTTTTGAAGGGCGCACAGTCTGTAAGTCACACGGACGTATTGCATATAATGGATCAAGATGAACAACTACGCGCTTCACTCCAAAAGCTTTGGTGTACCGCCGGACCGCCTGGTTTGACGGTAGAGACGAGCGAGGCGACCAGCAATTTGCAAGCTGCCGCGGCAGCTGCCGTTGTGGCCGCCTACTCGAATGCAGCCAATTACCAACAGCTGGGCAATAGAGTAGGCAAAAGTGCTGAGCTTTTAGGTGCTGATGAGGCTGAAGGCGCTGGCTGCACTGCTCCGCCATTGCTGGGTATGCATACCAGACTGGCGCGCGCAGGTTTCAAATCTTCGACGCCAGAGCTAAGCGCCTCGATGTACTCGCAAGGCTCGTCGTCGGGCTACGGTACAACAGCGACGACGGCGGGTAGTTTGGAAACGTTGACTAGCAGTGGATTGGGTGAATTTGGTAGTTTGAGCCGGTTTGCGACTATGAGCCAACATGCCTTGCAACACCAACAGCAGCAGCAGCAGCAGCAACAGCAAGCATACTACTATAATAGCCACAACATAGGCATACCAGCAGACATCAACAATATTGCAGTTAACAAGCCACTCTACTATACCACAGACAGCACTAACAACAGCGGTAGCAAAAACAAACAAAACACCACCGCCAACGATATACATAGTCACGGCTCGCCGCAGTCTACATTGGGCTTGCACGAACCACCAATATTAGTAGTAACAAAACCGTCGACGCGTTCGAATCGTATACATAGTGAGTCGGATCCGCACGTTTTCGGCGCAGAGAATGCGTGTGAAACACTAGAAACTGAGACGCCCACATTCTGTAATGAAAGAGATGGCCGAGGTATAGCAAAGCTCTATCAATATACCGATAATAATAGAAGAGCCCGCAGCGCTACGGGCAGAGTCACCGATAAACAACAGCCCTTGCAAGCTAACATTGGATTTTCAACAAATTCATTAGCTGATAAGGGCACAGAGCACGTTCGCGGAGCTCGTGTGGGTAGACGGGAAAAGGAACTAGCTGCGGACTGGCAGCTTTTAGCGAATAGTTGTGCGTCAACTACTGGCGACAGCTCTAGCCAGCACTTCTCAGAATACAGCGAACAACAGCAGCAGCAGCAGCAGCAGCAACAACCAGCAAAAACAGCTGCTGTAAAAGGCGAGGAGTCAAACGAGTTTGCGTATTTGCGAGAAAAACTTGCAGGCTTGCAGGTAAACCAAGACGAAGCAGCGCGCGGATCAAGCAACAAAAACAATAGCAAAAACCAGAAAACAAAAACTTATCTTAAAAGCAGTCACATAGGCAAAGATTGGCGGGGCGAAGAGGCAACGACGACGTCTCGGCCTCCATCACCATCTCCGTCGCAATCGTCATCGTCATCGCCAACGTTTGGTCGGAGTGACCAGAATATAAAGCAAACAAACGCAAACAAAACCGCTTCGCTAGTCAAGCAAGTTGTGAAGCCCACAATAATAACAACAACAGCGGCCAAACCATCCACCATACCTATAGCTTTGCCAAGAACAACAACAGCTGCGACAACACCAAGAGGTGTACACACAAAACGAAGTCGAGAAATAGATTTTGAAGTCGTCGACTCTGTAGAGGCAGCGGCAGCAGCAGCTGCGGCGCGTAGCCGAAGTTTAAGTGGCGATCGTTTAGTGGTGACCGCAGCACATTGCTATGGTGACGACGCGGAGGGCGCTGCAAACGAGCGTAGAGCCGAGAAACGCGACGCTGCCAGTGAGCAATGCTTGAACACAGTAGGTCCAGCACCATGCTGTCGTCACTTGGTTGGTGGTGAAGAAGAGGAAGAAAACCAGACGACAACAGAAAGCAGACAAAATCAATATAAGGTAGCGAGATACAACAAAAATAACAACAGACAGAATAATACCAGCCCAGCTGTAAGAACTCGTTTGTCGACCAGAACTGAGACGGTGAGCACTTATAGTAGTCCAACAGCCACCACCAGCGACGATTATAATAAACACGACGTCTCTATTCGTAGAGGTTTTAGCCGCACAGACGCAAGCGCGGACGTTGGTGAGGTAGCAGAAGACGCAGTAAAGACAGAAAACGTGCAGAAAGTGGTGAAGGCAGGAAAGGTGGGAAAGGAGGGAAAGGAGCTCGCGCCGTGTCACGGAAATAGTTATGTCGGTAAAGCTCACCACAAGAGCGCGTCAAACGACAGCGAAGTCCGAAGCTACAGAACAGCTGGCGATGAAATAGGCATCATTGGGCAAGCCGCAGACGACTGCGCGGTCGACAGCAAGTGTCAGCGCATAGTGGAAACTAGATGCCGTCTAGGTGGTGTGTCGAGCACTTGTAAGACTGCAGTGAAGGCGATTAGAAGTAGCAACGAACGAGCACAAGACCAATATCAGGTAAAGGAAAAACAGCAGAAGGAAGAAATAAAGCAGCAGTTAGAGCAGCTGGAGCAGCATCAACTGTCAGAGACGAAATCGAAAGAGGAGCCGCATCTAAACCAGCAAGAAGAAGACGAAAATGTTGAGCTACTCTTGTTATTACCTCTAAGAAAGGATACGCTGAAAAGCCAACAGGCGTTCAACAGCCAAAACGCTGATTTGCATACAGTACCCAAAGCCAAGTCGTACAGCGCCATGATTTCGATTGGTAAATTAAAGAATGACGCAGCCACCTCAGGTGGTTATCTACAATCCGAGAACGTATTCTCCTCCTCAGATGCAGAGTCGGCTGCAAGTGGCGATTCGGACACGGTAGAAAGCGACGAAAATAAGCAAACGCACACCAAGCGGTCCAAGACGTGTACCCCCGCTGGTGCCACAACCACAGCGCGCCGGAGTGTGCAGCGAAGCTATGACATTGCAAGTGTCGCTGGAGCTGAGGAGCTTATTGTAAGTCACCTGGACGATGATGATGGTGAGGACGAACGTGACAAAGAAGGCGATGGTGCTGCAGGTGCGTGCGCGGCACCTCGTAACCGACGGCGTACACATTCACGGAGCTCCGCTACTTCAACGAAAGACCAAAATACCAATACGAGTAGTGAAAATACAACAACTACCAGCAGTTCGTCCAGCTCCTCTGAGTCTGTGGACTCCGACGATACTGGCACCATTGCAGATAGACGCCCGAAAAGCAAGCATTTTTCTAAGGTGTTTGTAGTGAATCATGTGCCACGCGCACAACGGCGACGCGGCGCCTCCACCTCCAGTGAAAATGATACACAATCGTCGGATGCAAATCTTGAGGACTCCTCCGATAATGATACAGACACTGAACGTACGGATTGTGGTATAGTGTTGAATTCGATGAAGGTTATTGGTGAGGAGTTGGAGGAGACCAGAGCGGCGGCTGCTGCTGGTGCGGGTGCTTGGCAATTGGCAGCGCATGAAAGTGAGAGTGAAGAGGATGACACAAGCACAAGCATGACAAGTGACAATGAACGCCAGTCAGCGCACAGTGATGAGTGTGTTAGTGAGAATAGCGCTGACGGCGGTAAACGTAACCACGAACCAGGCGCGACGCTCGCCAAAAGTGTATGCCACAAACGCGCCAACAAATATGTAGCCACTACAGCGGCCGATGAGTTGGCCAATTGTATTATTGTCGTTGGCGGCGAAACCGATAATGAGGGCCCGACTGGCGGTGTGGTATTGCATGCTATGCGATTGCTGAGCGATGAAGAGGTAGAGCGGCAGGCATTCTGTAAACGTGCACATAAAACAGTCGCTGCGGTAACGTCGAGCAGCAGTAATAGAGCGCGCGCTGTCGATGGCACAGTTAACCAGAAAGTGATGAGCGTTGCAGAAAACATGCAGACAAGTGTTTCGAAGAAAAATACAAGCAAATATAATGAAAGCGTTCAGATGCGTGCTGAAGAAGACAAAGAAAGCAAAATACAATGCAGCAAACCGAGTGAATGTACAACAGCGCAGCAATCAGAGCAATTAAAATCAGCAAAAGCAACGAGAGAAAAGCCAGATTTCACGATGCGCGCAATGGAAACAGCAACAAAAACAGATGCGTCCAACAAAACAGCTGTTGCAATTCAGGCAACCACAAAACATGCCATTCAAACCGATGCGCCCACGTCGCTGATCTCGTTTGATTTCAGCGCGCAAGTAACGACAATAGCAACAACAGCAATATCTTCAGAGGATTGGGCAATCGACACACAGGAGGCATGCGATGAATTGCATAGCATTTCGAATGACGTTAATCGCTTGCTGGCGCTTACAAAACAGAACTCCGAGCTAGAGCTAAAATTTCAAAAATTACGACGCGGCGTGCAAGAAATCAACCAAGACCATCTGTGCGACGCGGGCGAGTTAGCGAGCGCGAAGGTAGCGACGGACGCTACTACGCCAATTAGCACTTTAAGGTCTTCTCCCAACAGAGTAACACCAGAGCGCCGCAAGCTGAACGATATTGATGACGACAATAGCGCTGGCGACGGCGTTAGCGTCGAGAACAATGATGATGCAACGAATAGTGTCGCGATTAAAAAAACCGGTGGCGCGGCGAACGAAGCGAAATCCGACGCGGTGCTTACTAGTTCAGTGCGGTGTGAAGAAAAAGAAGCACAACAACAGCTACAAAACAATTGCGGTATGCTTATGCATGAAACTAAAAATAAACTACAAACAGGTTGTACCACAACAACAACAAAAGAAACAAATAGCGCCAAGCAAGAGGCGCAAGCGGAGAAGAAAGCATTAAATGAATTTGCAACAAATGAAAAAGTAATAGGGCAGCGCGAGGCATCTGAGGCGAAGAAGGTCGAGCGCGCAAGTGCGCTGGGAGAAGAGCAAGCGCGCTGCACTGCGCCAAATATTATGCCGCTCGACGGGAGCACACAAAGCATAACGCGCGGCGCGTTGCATTATAAAAAAGAAAATACTGAAACAGAAAATAAAGAAATAAATCAACATGAAAAACTGCATGCACAACAGCAGCAACAACAACAACAAACGGCTGACCAACTAAATGCAGGCACAACGTGTCTGCCGCGCCGCTTGGCTGCCTCAGCGACTGACGTAAGTAACGAGCGCCAGGCAAACAAAAGACGCACAAGTGGTTCTAATGAAAAGGTAACAGAAGTAGATGTACAACAACAACAGCAAGCACAACAAAAGACTATGAGCGTGACGAAAGTAGATAAACAAGTTGTTTGTGCTGAAAACAAAAGAACAGCACACGAAACTGTGGAAGAAGTGGAAGAAAAACAAACTAATAAAAACACAACAACAACAGAAACAATAAAAACAATGCAGAGCGTGCATGCCGAATCACTTCAAAGGTGTGTAGTAGCACTTAAAACAGATTACAAGAAAAATGATGAAGAAAGAGAAGAAGAAGAAGCAGCAGCGGCAAAAATAAATGAGCGTCGAACCATACGAATGTCGGCGCAAGGAGAACTGCAAAAACAAATAACAGGTAGCTATAAAACAGCTGAGCAACGCGTTGGTGAAGAAAATAAAAGCGAAATCGGTGAAGAGTGCAAAACACACGAAGACAAAAGTGAAAAAGAAAAATATGGCCAAGAAGAAATACTTAACGAAAAAGTAATAAATAATGAAGCAGTGGACGAGAAAGAAAAAGTTACTGAAGAGAAGCATCAAATAGAAACAGAAACACAAGCAAAAGGGGACAACGAAAAAGAAATCTTAACAGCAGCAAACGAGGAATCAGCCACAGATCTCTACCATCTACTCCACCAGCGTCCGCCACCAGCCTGGCTGAGTCGCTTCAGTGAAGCATGCAAAACGACTAATGAACCACCACCACAATCGCTCTCCGGCTGTTTTATGGACTCGTTAGAGCCAACGAGCATGCCTGGAAACACTATAATCAACACAGCAACATCAACAACAGCAACAACAATCGCAGCAGAAAACACAGCTAAAACAGCCGAAACTAACGATCGTAAAACACCTGAGCAAATTATTTACACTAAGTCCATAGCGGCGGACAGGTTGAGCGCGCCGTCGACAGCAACCACACGCCGTCCAATATTGGAAGCAACTGAAGAGCGTGTTCAAGCCGCACAGGTAGACGACAAAGAGCAAATATTGCATATCATTGAAGAGTCCGAAGGTGAGTGTGAGCGCGCGATGAGTGACGTGACGACTGCGTCGGTGTCGTCGTCACAAACAATAATTCACAATTTTGAAGAGCTCGAACAGGCAAACGTCACTACAGGTAGTCGAGTAACCAACAGTAACAGCAAAGACAACAACAACAGCAGCAGTAATGCAGTCACTCAGTTGGCTAACATCGTGTCGACGAGCCGAGGCGCAGCGAACACATCGACTGCGGCCGTGGAAGCCGTACGCGCAGCGTCTAGCGCTAGTGTATTGGCCAACTCGTTGTGTTTAGTTGAAAATGAAATGTTAAACGTGAAAGACCACAGCGTAGACAACGAGGACGGTGGTGCGAGTGCGAGTGTGAGTGCGACCAATAATAATAATAATAACGGTGGTGTTGTTTTAATAGAGCCCAAACAAAGGTTTAGTGCAAGTTTACAAAGCACCGACGAGCAGCAAATCGTCGAAGAAGAAAAATTATCAATAAATAAAGGTAGATCGAAAATTGAAGAGCCCACAACGGCGCTCCAAGTGCAAAATATTCCACACAATTCGACTGTGGATGATAGTGGTAATAGTGCGGTGGTGAGTGAAGTGCAGATCGACGAGAGCCAACAACAAAACGCAAACGACGAAATTGTATGTGACGACGACAACAACGCTAAAAGTGTTACAAAAGCTCAACAACCCAAAGTGTTGGTAGTGAAAAATAATCAAATAATAGCAAACGCTGACGAAAAAGCTAACGAACGCGAACGCGAGCGTGTAAGTGAACGTGAACGTGAACGCGAACGCGGTTACGGTGAGCGCGCGGACAAGGTGTCGTACGAAACGAGGGAAACTAACGTTTTAGACGACGATTACGGGCTTGGAAACGCTTTGAAAAAACAACAAAAGCAGTTGAAATCGCCCAGTAAAATAACTTCCACCAGCAAAGTGGAGTTCGGCGAGGAGTATCACGAGGACAGTGCTGGCGGTGTTCTAGGGCAGACAACTGTAGAAGGTGCGCCAGGAGCTGTGCATACAAGCTACACACCTCGTTTCAGCGTCAACAACAGCAACGACCAAACCGAAACTATAAGCCAATTTGATAGCATTTTTGGTGGTGGTATTTCGGCCGCACCCACAACACGCACGAAATCCACGCTGGCGGGTAGTAATTCTACTTCCAACTCAGTCGCGACCACATCACTTTCGGCCAAATATCGCAGTTTGATTATGATTACAAAAGACAACAACAGTTCAATTGGCAGCGGTAATGACCTCTTGGCCAACAGCGATGGCAGTGGCAGCATTGCATTCGCGGACAAATCGCAAGCCACCACCACAACCACAACAATAACAACTATAGAATCTGCCGCGACACGTGTAAGACAAGGCATACAAACACATGACGGTCGGTACGATGTTGGTGGTGACTCGGCGTGTGTTGGTAGCAGCCCGAATGGTGGTAGTATTATACGATTGAGTGGTTATGAGGCGAATATGCCGAGCAGCAGCAGCAGCCATGCAAATCGCGATAGTAATTCGCCCACGGCTACACAAAGAACAAGTTTTAGCTTAACCACGAGCAAGCCAAGCAGTAGTAGTGCTGGCGATGAGTCACTGAAAGCGCCTACTGCGTCGTCCCGCCTGTACGTCTCGTCGCCCTCAGCATCGCTGCCGTCAGCTGTTCGCAATACAATAACGACATCCAGCAGCAATAGTAGTCGAGTGACGTTATCTTACGATGCGGGCGACGTCAACGAACACACGACGCACTATCCCGTCAACACTGTAGATTTATTGCGCGATCAGAAAATCGTATATGGTTATACGGCCGGAGAGGAAGAAGAAGATTTCGACCAACTTTCAAATGGCCGTGGCAGCGGAAGGAGTAGTCGCGCGGATGGCAATGATGATGGTGACTTCCTCGACGACGAAGATGATGATGTAAGGCAAGACAGTAAGTCCAAAGCTGTTTGCCTGGAAGATGGTCTTGCCGACGATGACTCCTGGGTGGAGGAGATAAGCCAACAAGGTGATGTGGATTTTGGTGATGACACTACGCCTACCGCTTCGGATTCAGAGGATTTGAGCGTAGATGGCGATGACACCGTTTTGGCTAATGGCATGTTTATCGATCGTGAGGAAGAGTTGCGTGGCTATCACCGCTCGACAATCGATTTTACGCTGCACACAATAGTTGAGGAGAGTTGTGAAGAGAGCGAAGTCGCTTCTTTGCGTGGCGCTGAGGATGTGGGCGAAGAAGAGGAGTTGGATGAGCTGGAGCGGCGGCGACAGCGCACTATTAATCACCATAATCGCTTGTCCGCCTCGGATTTGGAGAAATATTTCTTCTTCGATCTCGGCGATGGCAAAGTGATGAGTTCGATTGATACACGTGGTGATGATACAGCCTCTGAGGTTAGTAGTGAGTGCTCGGAAGGTCTCGACTCGTTGGGCATGCCCGAGGATCATACGAATGATAGCAATAGTGCTGCTGAGCTTGCGTCATCGCGTCTGGAGAAATACTTCCTCTCCGGCTTCATGGGCTTTAGTGCGAGTGAAAAGAATGAATCGGATGAAAGCGGTAGCGTCGGTAGTGATAGTGAGGGTCATCCCAGCCCCAGTCAGCGTCGCAAACGTTTGGTACGTGCACGTGGCACTCCACGTTCACATAACTCCTCGCTAGACAATCTGCTGGTTGACTCGCAATCACTGCCAGCCGATTCCCTAGAGCCCAGCCTATTGCCCTCAACTGCCAGTGATTTGCTGGACTCCTCCGAGTCGGAGGCGTGTGATGAAACTGTGCTGCATGTGAGTAGCGGCGGTGAAAAGGCTTTCGAAAGCAATTCTTCGGATACGATCAAACGGAAGAAACAGGTGCGTAAACGTCACGATTCGCTGGATGAAAAGAAACTGCACGACTCCGCCGAGGACGCCAACAAAGTATCTGGATCAAATGCTGAGTGCCGTACGCCCACCCCTGGTTCCATCAGCAATGCACAAGCAAAGAAACAGCAGCATCACAGTCGCGACAGCGGTTTTGTCGGTAGCAATGATGATTTACTGAAGTCACCCGAAAGCGAGCAGCCTACGACGAGCACAGCAACGCGCACGAAGTCACCTACAGCGCTGGAACAGATAGAGGAGGTAAAAGAAACGCCACAAGCCACAACCAGTTCGGCTATTGTCTTGCCGGAAGTACGCATAACCGCGCCAAATGACACTGCCACGACGTTGGGCTCCACACTGCAAGCGGATGGCCTTACAAACAAACCGCCGCTACCACCCACAGCCAACGCAAGTTTGGTACGCAAAGATAGTTTCAACAATTGGAGTTCGGATGAAGAGACCAATTTGATGATGTCGAAGATGCGTCAGTTCTTCAAAACACTGGTTGTAGCCACTGCGAATGCACAGCAAACCTACGGTTCAGCGAATAACTCAAAAGGTACCACACCGAATCAGACCACTCCCATATCGGTGAGACGCATGAAAGCACGACCTCAATTGGCTTACTTTGAGAATGAGCTCACTCGGCTGATGAAAACTGTGCCGGGCATAAATGATGAGCAAGTGCGTGAGATCGTTGAGTATTTGAGCAGTGAGGATACCTGGTCCGACTCGTGTGACTCCTCAGACTACACCAGCTCTGATCTCGAAGGCAGCAATCGTCGTAAGGGTGAGCTGAAAGAGCAAATTTCAGCGAGCTGTCAGCAAATAATAAATAAATTCGAAATAGATGAAGAAGGGGATCGTGGAGACGGTGGTCTACTAGAAGTCGATACACACGGGCTGAATCCCGACACAGCGTTGGTATATCAGAAGCTAGTGGCTTCGTTCTCGAAAATTGCCGTGGGAAACACAAGCACAACAACAGCCACAGTGACAACAACAACCACCGCCGAGTTGCCAATACCCAACACCACTGAAGATAATGTCACAAAGCGTACAGTGGAGGAGGATCAAATTTCAACCGGAAGTACACAAAGCACAGAACGCTCGCCACAGCTGTTCGCTAAGGTAATGCAACATATCGGCACACGTCTCGTCGCGCTAATGCACGAAGTGAATAGTGGTAATGATTCACATGGCACCAATTCACCAATTGCGCCGCAACGCAACCACCACAAAAGACTTCAAGCGAAGATATCGATTACCACCACTGAGGACGAGGAAGAGGAGAGTCCCTCGGAAAGCGGCGAACAGGCAAAATCCGCGCGCTACACTTCGCTTCACACTACGCAACAACATTCCGTTTATCACCAACAACAACATCACCATCATCACCTACAACATCCACACCATCTCTCCCATCAAACGAAATCGAACAAAGCCCTACAGGATGAAGCGAATAATCTAGCACGCAGCAAATCACACGATCTACTGCTCGACTCAGCATCCACATCGGCAGCTTGTAGCAGTGTCAGCGGTAGCAGTACAAATGCGACGCGACCCCACCATCATCAATCGAGCAGCGGTGTTAGCGATACCGCCGGCGAGGAGTGTGGCGTCGCTAGCGATTATGAACGTTTCTCTTGGCGTGGTAGTTTTGAGTCGGCATTACTGGCTAATGGCGATTCCAGAACCAAACTCAGTCAACTCGATCGTGACAACTCATCGTCTGCGTCCGCTTTGGCCGTTGCAAAGCGTCGCTCGGCAGGTGATCTGTTGTTCAACCACAAAAGTATGAGTCGCGAGCAATTGGATCGTGTGCGTTCATGCGGCAGCATCGGCGGCGGTGATGAGCGACATCAAGAGCTAGAAGCTTCGCCGGCTAAGCCATGGGTTAGCACTACCGACTGTAAGGATGTGCGGCGCTCTAGTGTGCCAGATGCTATATACGAATCGGACTCTTCGGATGACGATGCATTTGGTGCACGTTCAACATTACCACGTAGCTTGTTAGGTGTTACGCAGGTGGCTAGTACAAACTCGTTGCCACGTTTGCCAACAACAAGCGCTGGCGCTGCCTCCACGCCGTCTAGCGCGGGTATGAGTACCGCGCAAACGGCTATAGCCACTTCCACGCCGCTCGCCAAGTCACAGGGCGCTTTAAATTTCAACTCTAGCGGTAGCGCCAAGAGTGCGCGCTACCGTTCGCCAAGCTTGGCGAGTCGTGCCAGTGCATCGCTGAGCGCCAAGAAATCCAGCGCTAGCTTAGGGTTGCAACATTTCCTCTACTCGAAGCGCGATGCACGCAAGCGGTTGAATATGTCGGGCGGTAAGCAAATTTAATTTTTTTTATTTATTTTTCTATTTATTTATTATAGCCATTTCTTATGTTAAATGAATATTTATAAATATTATTTATTTATTTATATATATATATGTATATTTTTTAATGTGTATTTTTTTTCTTTGAATTCCAATTGCAGTTGGGTGAAATTATAATTATAAATCTCATTTCATGTTAAAAGTTATTTTGTTTTGTTTTTGTATTTATTGAGCGTCAACTCAATCATAAATTGACAGCGCGGAACGACATTTTTTCTATGCTTTCTTCTATTCGCTCCAAGCGCCGGCAATTATTTGAAAGAGCCGCTCGCTTTCTTTGCTCAAATGTAGGGCCAACAATTTATTGCCGTTAAATATTTGAAAAGTTCAATAACTGTGTTACATAAAAATTTTGCTCGACTTGAAGATGAAAGATAAAGTTGATCATTTAGTTATACGCAATGTTAGCCTAAGTATGCGGTCTTCGGCTCCAAGTTCATGCGATTTAGCCCCGCTTTACTATGATTTCTGTGGTTATGTGAAGTCGCTTGTTTATGAAAATAATCCTGAGACGCTTGACGTCTTAGAATAGCGTATTCGACACGTTATTGCTGGCATACGGTCGTGGCCGTAAATTGCACTGGAACTTACTCGAGTCAGTAAAATTTGATTTTTAAAATCTGGTATAAAATTTGGTTTAAAATCTGGTATAAAATTTGGTTTAAAATCTGGTATAAAATTTGGTTTAAAATCTGGTATAAAATTTGGTTTAAAGTCTGGAATAAAACTTGGTATAAAGTTGATTTAAAATGTAAATTTGTAGTTTACAATCTAATATAAATTCTGGTATACAATTTTAATTAAAGTCTGGGAAAAAATTCTGATTTATAATCTGGTATAAAATTTGACTTGAAATCCGGTATAAAATTTGCTTATAAATCTGGTATAAAGTTGATTAAAAATCTGGTATAAATTTTGACTTAAAATCTATAAAAAATAGCCACCACATGTATTTTATACATTTCCGAAATGTTTTCTTTTTTTTTAAATATACACCTTGTGTTAGCTCTCACACCTTTCTTGTATAGAATTAAAAGATAGTGTTGTTAGCAGTTTAATTCTTAAAAGCAAATTAGTTTACTGTTTATATAAGAATGATTTTCAATATATATAAAATTAAATCTAAAAAAAAAACTGGTATAAAATGTTATATAATTTCTGCTTTCAAATTTTATTGTCAAAATCTGGTATAAATTTTGATTTAAAATCTGGTATAAAATTTGGAATCTGGTATAAAGTTGATATCACTTTTTATTCGAAAACTGGTACAAAATCTGATACAAATTCTTTTATAAAATTGATTTGAAATCTGGTATAACTTTTGAAATCTGGTATAAAATCTGATACGAAATCTTGTATAAAGTTGAATTAAAATCTGGTATAAGTTTTGATTTAAAATCTGGTATAAAAATTGGTAATAAATCTGGTATAAAATTTATTCTTAGCCAATAGCACATATAAACCTAATGGTGGAATTTATAACTTTCTTATATTGAAAAGCCCTATAACTAGGACCGATCTAAAACACTCCCTTTTGGCTTCGATTATTTGAAACAAATAAGTTTGATTTTGTCATATATTATTCAAGAATGATTTTCAGAAGGAAACAAAAGTCATAATTGACTAAACTTATACATTTCGAATTGAAATTCGAATTCATAACAAAATTACGCCCCCTTTTTGAGTACAGCTGCCATTATCACATTGCCCTTCCATGTGTTAATACTGACATCTGTCATATGTCCCTATTTATTTAATTAAAACCTACATACCTTTGTATATATGTAAATACATACATATATACGAGTAACTACATGCACTTTAACTCAAATGTGGCTTATGGTGCACAACATGGTCGGCAGCGAGCATTGAACGGGGAAAAAAGACAAAAGACAAAGTCGAAAAAATATGCGAACGCTTAAGCGCAATCAAGGTCAATTAACTGTTCCCAAATAAAGTGCCAGCAGGCAAAGACTATAAAAGTAATAGCTACACCAAATACACATACACACATACATACATATTGTTCTATAGTTTTAGATACGTTAGTAGCAAAATGCCCAAAAAGTAACGTTACACTCGTAGCAATCTCCAGCAAATACACAGTGAGTCGAGACACAACGATTAGCGGTCAATACTCAGCAGAGATGAAGTTTTCTTATACCCACGAGCTACTTTTTCACTCGGGTGTATTAAGTTTGTTTACGGTACGGTTGTAACAAAATGGCAGAAGTGGTAGTTTTAGTTATATCAAGAAAGAAATGTTGGTTTCTTTATACCTTTCAGGAATACGGAAAGATATAATTTATTTAAGTCTACCAATTAACTGATTATTAGAGTTGTTTGCAATTTTTTGTATTTTACCTATGGCAATTTCTTATAATAATATTTTGTTGAGCTGAATGTCAGGATATTTTTTTAGGAAAAGTGGAGCTACAACGTTTCTCAATCGAACTTCTTGCATTCAGATAACTTTGGTATAAATTTTAAAGGATATGTTGCTCCTTCTTCTGATATTTGCATACTTCGGGCCAAACCAAAGTTAAAATTCTCTTTGATGTACACAAAAGGTATAAAAGTACAATTATACGCACAAAATTCCAGAATTACCACCTGAATGGATTTTGCACCCATCAATGAGTTCGCCTAACCTTCAAAAAAACTAATTTTATTAGATGGTTAAGCCTCCTTTAAAGTAATTTCTAAGGTATCTCTCAACTATGTTCTTCTTAAATTCCGTTTGTTCTATAGTCAGTTGAGAAACCCTCAATAATTAAGAACTGTCCCTTGGGAACGCAGAAAGCCTGCATGATCTTCTAAAATCCATTACAGGTCGCCAAGGCTGCTCAATCTGGTATTTGATAATGCTTGAAAAAAGAAAACGACCACGCTTAATGTCCGATGTATACCCAGATAAAAGTAATGATAAATGAGCTTCTTCACACTAAAGTGAAGTCAAAATCTTAAGAAGCTTTTATTTATTCAATTGTAACCTTCTCTGCAGTAGTCGGAAGAATTTATCAGTCTGTGGTCCACCTATCACGACTGCCACTTATTCGTAAACTATTGCCTCCATAACTCTTTGTTCATGTCAACCCATATACGACACAGTGATGTGGATTACAAAGAACTTGAGGAACCCAAGCTCCGCAATGGCGATAGGTATTTGGCTATTTTCGGCCAAGCTCCACTTCTATTTTGTGGTAGACGTTTCAAGTCATCTCCGCCTTAAGGGTTAAGGGTGTTGGTGAAGCCAGAGTACCAGTGAACTAATTCGAGCTTCACCTAGTCTTTATTCGCCCTTAAATTTAGCTCTTTCTTACTTTCTGGTTACTCCGCGTTTACACTCTTTAGTTCACTAAAAAAAACGCTTGCAGTTGTTGCTGCGTGTCTTTTCTTAATGGGCGTAGGCGGGCTTTGAACTCGTAAGCGCTGAGGTTGAGTTTATGTTTATGAAAAAAAAACAGCTGTTTATTTTTATTTATCTTTTATTTGTTATTTTCTTTTCAATTTTTAATTTTTTTTTATTTTTTTTTGTCATTTGATCATTCGCCTTTAATGCGTTATTTTTATTTAAGCTTTTTATACGCTTGCTGGCTTGTCTGACATAATTTATCACTATTCAAGTAGGTAGGTAATTCATTGTGGGTATTTTTTAATTTAATGTTATCTCTCTTCTCAATACACACTTCTTGCAAATACCAACAAAAAGGCATGTGTTGGTTCTTTACGCCTTAAAATTAGCCAACCACCTTATCTAACTACAAGCTTACATACATGTACATAGAAACTTAATATTTTATGAATTTCCTTGAAATGGCGCAAAGACACCGGCGATCAATTTAATTTTGGTGGTTGGCAATATTTTTGTGTTTTGTTTCTTGTTTTCTAGTTTATTCACTTCTTTATTGGAATAAAGTAATTTTGCACAACAGCAAATACTTCCAAGCAAAGCAGAGTACTTACATACGCGCATACATACATGTAATTAAATATATATAAAAAAAATAATAGAAAAATATTTCATTTACCTTTTTTCGAAAGCTCAACAAAGCTCACGCGATATTTACTTGCTACGCTTGCATTTCCTGCTCCGCTCAGCAGGTCGATTTGGCAACATTAACGTCATTTCCTCACTTCCCTTCACCAATTTTTTTTCTATTACAATATTACAAATTTTTATTTTATTTGTATTTGGCTTTTGTGTACACCAATCAAATTAAATTTCAAGATACTCATTTCTTCATTCCAGTGAATTTGTAAATATTGAAAAGCGCGAAGCTTTGCTAATACTAATTTGTATACATAGGTATTTTTGGCCAATTTGGTACCGTTACGCTTGAGCATCCGACAATTCGAGTTAAGCGGAAAATTTGTTACAAGCAGCATTTGGTTTTTGTTGAAAAAAAAAACAACGTGTAAGAAAAAAAATTACATTTTAGTAAATAAAATAAAAAAGGTAAAAGTAAATTAAAATTATTTTAAACTTAGTAAAATAAATCAAAATAAAATAAAAGTAAATTAAAGTAATTTAAACTAAAATTAATTAATTAAACTTCATTTAAATTTAGTAAAATAAAATAAAATAAAATAAAATAAAATAAAAATAAATTATTTTAGTTAAATTAAATTAAACTAAATTATATGAATTACTTAAAATTAATTTAAATGTAGTAAAATAAAATAAAAGTAAATTAATTTTAGTTAAATTAAATTAAACTAAATTATATAAATAAGTTAAAATTATTTCAAACTTAGTAAAATAAAACTACAAACTAAAATAAAATAAAATAAAAGTAAATTAAAGTAATTTAATTAAAATTTAATTAATTAAAGTTCATTTAAATTTAGTAAGATATAATAAAATATAACAAAACAAAATAAAATAAAATGAAATTGAAGTAAATTAAATTTAGTTAAATTTAATTAAACTATTTTATATGAATT